CCCATAGCATTTTTGGTGAATCTTTCTAAAGATTTTTACTGAATCTTTTACTGAATCTTTCACTTTTACTGAATCTTTCTAAAGTAGCTTAGTTAGTTTTCATAAAAACAACCCATTCTTTTCACATTATTGTTTATTGGATTAGGTAATAATATTTAAATTACTTGGTTATATTTTTATGACAGTACAACTGGGATGACTGTAGTTCTTGGGATGACTGAGCAGGAGAGCTATAATCCGCCACTGACCCACATTGGGTTACGATGGGATGTGAAGCCATTTGTGTGAGGCTACTGAGCTTGGGGGCTGTTAATAAGATCGGCTACACCAATGCATCTTCTAATCAGCTTTTATGTAGCGTTTTATTTGGGACGACTGCTCACCTTTACAAATCCCTTTTCATCAGCTCTTTCTATAACCATTATTTTTCTCCATTAATTTGCTGGTGTAATGAATCATATTGACAGATTTTTTTTTTTTTAAAATCGAACTAGCCTGTATTCTTAGAAGAACTCTACTCAGTCGTAATAATCTTTTATTATTCTAAAATACTCTGTTTCCTAAAATTGTATTCAGAACTTTTGCACTAATAATTGTAATCGAGGTCATTCTGTATTTTCTTGAATTATACTGTTTTTGAAAATCAGATATTCAGATTAAGATTTTGCTGGTTGTATAAAATTAAATGCGTAGCTTTCGGTTTTTTTCCTATGGTTTGGAATAACTTTTAAAACATTGAACTGTCTGGCTCCGATGTATGAAAAAGAATTTTAAATCATTCCCTTGCTTTTATGTATAGTTGCACTCAATGTCTCTGTCACTTCAATATGTATTATTTAGTTTTGCCTGTTTTTAATCTTTATGAAAACAAAACCATAAGGTGTATTCATCCATAACTTCCAATATTTACTCAACAGTGTTGCTGCGATCCATCCTCGCTGATACGCTGTCGCTTTGGTTTTGCCGTTGTAGGATAATCCACTGTATAAACACAGCATCGTTTTTTAAAAATCCATTCTGCTGGGTTCATTGGATTGTTTCCAGTTTTTGCTAATAAAATATTTTTGTACAACTGCTGGTGCGGAAGTTTCTCTGCCAAGAAAGGAACTGCTGCCTTGTGTAGTGTATTCACAGCTACTAGAGAACAGCAAATGTCAACCAAACTGGTTGGAGCAATTTACACTCCCACTAGCAGCCTTCCCATATCTCCACGTCCTTGCCAATGCGTGGTCTTCATCGATTTTTACATTTTTCTCCATCTGTTGGGTACAAAAGTAGATCGCATTGTAGTTTTCATTTTCATACCTACTATCGAAAATTGAACATATTGTCACATGATTGCCAATGCATGTTTTCTCTCCTGTGAAACGGCTGTTTATATCTTCTGCTCATTTGTCTATTAGTTGGTCTTTTTACGGATCTGTAGCTAAACTACAGGTTTTTGATAAACATTCTTAAATTTAATATAATCAAATTTATCCATATTTTTCCTCAGAAACTTTCAAAGGTTGACCTTTTGTATTTGTATCCCTAATGTAACTATAGTTGTGTACACACACACACACACACACACACACACACACAATCGGGTGAGGTAAGGAGCCAATTTCTTTTCTTTTCCCCATATAGATTATCCTAGCTCTTTTCATACTGAGAAATTCATCGATTTGTCCATTTGTGCAAATTCTGCAGTGTCTTAACTATAGCTTTATAATATCTCCTGATATCTGACAGGACAAGACTTTCTACTCCTCCTTTAGAAGCACCTCAGCTGTCTTTGGCACTTTGCTCTTTCCCAGAAAGTTGAGTCAGTCGAAGGAGTTATTTGAATTTTTATTGAATAATCTATAGAGTTTGGAGAAAATTGACAAATTTAAGATGGAACTTGTAGGTGTTTTTACACACACTTCAGTAGATTATTATAGCATTCTACATGAAGTTTCTAAATATTTTTGTTAGAGTTATTCGTAGGTACCTTATTTTTTGTGCTATTGTAAATGGTATCCTTTTAAAATTAAAATTTACAGATGGTTTTGGGCGGCATATAGAAATGCAATTAACTTTTGCCCATCAATCCGATATCTAACCACCTTGATAGGTTTTCTCATTTTTCTTAGAATCTGTGGTGGATTCTTTGAGTTTTATGCATAGATTATCATTTAATTGGTACTTTGGTTTCATCGTCTCTGCTCTTTCGACTTCTGTGTTATTTTTCCTCCTGCTCTGCAGTGGCAAGAAATCCAACACGAAGTTGCTAGGAACAGTAATAGTTTATCTCCTTATCTTTGTCCTTATTTTTAAAGGAAATGCTTTTAACTTTTTTACTGTAGAGCATTATATTTGCCAGAGATGTTTTTGCAGATAACCCTTTATTAGGTTAGCTGAGGATGTTCTTTATGCTTTTTTGGCTACGAGTTTTTTGTTTGTTTTTATTATAAACGGCTTGTGAAATTTTTTGAATGCTTTTTCTATCTCTTTTGAAATGGCCATATGGTTTTTCTCTTTTAATCTGTTCATGGGATAAATTACATTAATCAGTTTTCTAATGGTGCGACAATCTTCCATTCCTGGAATAAACCCAATTGATCATTATCCTCATATATGTTTTGTTCGCTATAGTTGCTAATATTTTAAGATTTTTACATCTATCATCACAAATGAAGTTGGACTATAATTTTTTTCTTGTCTCGTTTCCATATAAAGTTATATGGAAACGAGCCTCATAAAATTAGTTAGGGGATGTTCCTCCTTTTATACTCCCTGCAGGAGATTAAGATTAGAATTATCTGTTCCTCAAATCTTGGTAAACGTGGACATAAATCTGCAAATGCAGAAAAATAATTTTATTGGCTGAGATACGGAAAGTCTGGGTTGTGTGTACGTATAAAAACTCACCTTTTGTTTGAATGTCCTGGTATCACAGCCATTAAAAGACTGCAGTTCTATTAAAAGATCTGAGTGCTCGACCCCAAATGCTCATTGCATCTTGTCTCCATAAATCTGTTTACTATGTTCCAGTGCATATTCGATGTCTGAAAAATAACGCCTCAGCTAATCACCCCAAACAGAACCTGATAACAGCAGTTTAGATTCACAAAATTCTTCCAGGTGCATTAACGCATTATGATGGATGGCATTTGCCAGCAGTCCCCATTCCTTCGCTAGTGAATAATTACTTTATTCATTAAATATTTATTGATTGAAGTGTCTCCTCTGCTAGCTTCTGGGGTCCTAATGCCTGCCAGTTGTGGTTCCTGTCCTCGTGAAGTGTTAGCCTTGGGGGGAGGGGAGCACACATCAATCAATCAAATAAACAAAAAAGGATAGTTCCAGCAAATGCCACAAAAGAGAGATAAATGGCCCTCATAGAAGAGATTTCGAACTAGTCAGTGAGGTCAGAAAAGACTTCTCTGGTCTCACGAGTAGAGAGAAACAGGGCTGAAGGATGCATAAGAGGTGACCGAGAGAAGGAAGACATGAGAATAAACGTGAGCAAAGGTCCCATGATGAGATGGAGCCTGGTGAATAGCACGGACTGGCAGAAGGCTGATGTGGCTGGAGCAGAAAATGAGGCTGTTAGAGGTAGATAAAAAGGGCCCAAACCAACAGGGTCTCATAGATAGAGGAACCACAGGACGATGTGGCATAGAATAGTCAGGAGGCTAAAACAAGGGATGCGAGTAGCTTGAGGTGGAGAGAATGAATGAATTTGAGAGCTACGTAGAAGTCAATGACAAGTCGGGGTGATGGATCGTAGAGGGAATGTGATAAAGGAGAACATTAAGGGTGACTCTTAAGTTCTAACCTGTGCAAGTTAATGGAGATAGTGGCATTTACCCAGATATGGAGCCTTGGAAAGATGCGCGGTTTGGGGGTGGGAGGGAGGGAATCAGGAGTCCTGCTTTAGCCACGTGGGGTTTGCACCTCTGAGAAATCCGAAGGGAAACCCCAAGTAGGCCGCTGGATGGATGAGCTTTGGCCCCCTGCGGGGACCTATAAGTGAGTGCTACGTCTACATACAGATGGCAGTCGAGGGGGACACAGGAGAGACCCCGCAGAGACAGCACTTTACAGATAGGAAAGGAACAGGAGCTAAAAGGGAGAGTAAGTATCACGCAACAGTGCTTCTCGGCGTCTCCCCCCCGCGGGACTTCTAAAAGCAGAGGGAAATGAATGAGCTCAGGAGGTGAGGATGGAGGTCCGCGGCCACGTTTCAGAACTCCTGGCTGCAGTCATGAAATTCATGTACACTGTACACTTCAGGTGTAGCTAATATAACTCACGTTATGCACCCTCGAGTGAAGTCGATACTCTAGAGAGAGATTTCTCTTCTGGCTCTGTACATCCTCTGCTACAATCCTGAGCTTTTTCTCAGGGTACAGATACCCCATGTCGAGGATCATGGAAGTACGATTCTTTCTCAGAAAGCCAGGAAATCGTAAACCCAGAGAGGCCGGGAGACTGTCACAGATTGCACGTCAAATCAGTAGAAGGCTGACAGAGCCAGGCTCTCATGATACCTAACCAGTGTTCCATCCATCAGCAAACATCGAATATTAAACAAAAGTTGAGAAATAAGTATCGAGTCCCTACTAAGGTAGCTGGCAGTGATCCTCCCACGACACCATAGCGGTGTCAGAATTAGCCTGAGTCTTAGAACTCAGTAATGCAGCGTGACACGTGTGAACTACGGGGCATAGGACCTGGTCTTCACGCACTGAGACAAATCACTCATTCTTAGGGAGGAGGAGGCAAAACAGAGGAAAATCGAGATTAATAGGATGATCTGGCTCCAGGGGGCTGCAGATGGGAATGGGGAGGAGGAAGAGGGAGAAATGAGATGCAGAGAGAGAACGTGGAAGGGGAAAAACGTTAAAACAGCCCCTCACTCTTCTCTCCCGAGCAGCTACCTCCACTGCCTTTTAAGAAGTAGACAGATGCGTCTTTTAGGAAGAAGCGGCCGGCACGTGAGCTTGGAGGCGCACGCGCCAGCGACCGACCCGCGGAAAGCTGTCACATTCGCCGTATTCGGGAGGAGCAAATGCATCATCAAATGCATCGTCGGGGTGCAGCTGGCTGGGACGGAATGCGATGGCCTCCGGCGGGAGGACACGTAGTGCCAGCATGCTCCGAACACACCCCGTGACCGCTTTCCTCCCCCAGCACGTAGACACGCTTCCCGCCGAACTTAGAGGGCGGGGCCCCCGCAAGGGCCCCCCCCCGGAGACCCAGCTCTGCTTGAATAGTGTGTCTCTCTAGGTGAACACTGCCGGGTTCCCTCCTCATCCAGGGTAGGGAACCCCGTTTCGCGTTGTGCAGAGGAAGAGAAGTTCAGAGGGTCCAGTGGCCGGGGCTGTCTGTGTTTCTGAGGACATGGCACCGCTGAGCCTGGCTTGGGCTTGACCAGAGAGATGCTCAGTCCCCACGCCAGCCGCCCCTGGCCCATCCGCCTCACGATCCCTGATTGACGCAGCCCAGGCTCCTTAATGGGTCCAAATATCACAAACTTTTAAACGCTTTAATCGTTTAAAAGTTTGTGATATTTGGACCCATTAAGCAGCAACAGGAGCCCAGCTGGATAGCATTCCTCCAGCAGCCACTCCTGTCACCAATGGGCTTGAGAGTGGACCTGCTGGCGGAGAGAACGGCTGCCAGCGGGGTGCCTGGACTTCCTCCTGTTCCCCCTCTGCCCCTGGTCATTCGCATGGGGGATCTCCACGGGGTGGAAGGTCGTTCTGCACAGGAAGCACATTCAGGATTAGTACCCACGTGCTTTCCTCCCTGCAGCCACGGAAGAGCTCCGCTCACAGAGGGTCGTGATAAGTCAGAGCATCGGCCCTTTCCGCTCAGATACCAATAAGTCTTGCGCTTCGAAATCGCTGACCTAAAAAGGCGACTTGCGAAGGAGCATGTCTGTTTTTTTTTTTTCTTCTTTCTTTTAAAGAAAGCAACACCAAAATCAGTCTGACTTCCTCGTACACTTAGAAGCATACCAAAAAAAAAAAAAAAGAAAGAAAGAAGAGTGAGTCATTCCGGGTTTCTAACTTTAGTTTATAGAAACAAAGCACTGAATCATAAAACTTGTCAGGGAAGACCTAGATATAGTTTTATCTAGATAACGTTGGTATTAAAAGAAGCTGGAATTCTATTTTGGTGGCGGAGTTCTGGGATTAGAGATATAACTGTCTGCTCACCAACAATTCGGCGGATCAGGATGTGACTATCAAGACCTTCCCAACAGAGACACTTTCTGGTAGAACTTTCTGGTAACAGTCCATCCACCCGCACTCAGAATTTCAGAATTGGCCATGCTCGGGGTAAAACTTCTCCAGACCCAGCACCGAAAAGGAACTGTGCAACTCAAGTCGGGAAAAGCATTGTCGACTCAGGCCAAATAGTCATATTAATCGTGCCGCGGATGAAATGAAACATTTTTTTATAATCATCTATTCGGTCAACTGGAAACGAAACAAAAACCTATATGTAAAGCATATTGAATAGATACGATCCGAAGTCAAGTGTTTCTGCACACCCGAATAATTCTCTTGGAAGCCTGATGAAACAGAGTTAGTGTACCCCAAATAATTAATTAGTCCTGTTTCCCGAGTCCTCTCTTATACACGTAGTCCCCTACCTGTCTCTAAGACCTTTAAAACCACTTTTATTATCTCTAATACATGCGATCTATCTTTCCTGCCGTTCTGATGGGTAGGTAATTATAAATGTCAATCAACGATCACAGTCAGTTATCGGTAATACTATGAAATGATTTAAAACAATAATAACGATTCAGCTGCCACACTGCCTCCCATTAAGGGAAATTCAGCAAAACAAAGCAATTTGCTGATTCGATGCATTCCAAAGCCACGATGTGGGGAGTGTCTCGAATATCTGCATTATGCTCCCCCAACCAGAAGAGGTTTTTGTTGTTGCTGTTGTTTATTCGTTTTCTGAAAGATTTCCTAAAGCTGTGGATACCACACACTGCCGTTAAGGTTAGTCCCACGGAGAGTGTTAAAAAAGGGTCGGTCCAACAAAACCCTCTTCAGCATGAACGTTCTGTCGTGTCCGTATTTACCAAGATCACTGTCTTTGCTTCTAGACCTTCTTCCTCACCCCTCATAGCCCGAGCCTGTACACTGCCCGACAAACGTGCGTTCCACTGAGAGCGTCCATATCATTCCACGAGCCTGTGACAGGAAGGAGCCACGTCGAAGACACAGGTAGTGTCAGATTTCCCTCAGCCGCTGCCTAGAATCTGTTAGGTTCTTTGTAATCGATTTAAGATCTTGGACACATGTCCTCACTTATCATAATTCCTATCATTTAATGCCAGGTCCTGTGCCGAGCTCCCTACGTATGTTCGACCCTCACGAACGCCTTTCAAATTAAGTACGATTAATATTTGCTATTTTGCAAATGAGCAACTGAAGGCTTAGAGAGTGTCATTGATGTGGCCAGATCTCACAAGTAAGTGACAGAATCGGTTTGTCAAATTCTAGAGCTCAAGTAATTAGTCATTTTACTAGACTACCTGGGTAGAAAATTCAGAAATGATGCCAAGAAAATAAAAAAATAAACAGAAATCACGACATAGCCACATGCAAAATATTTGTTGAAAGCCTTCATAAAAAACAGCAGACAAGACAAAAAGAACCGTTGCTTCAATCGAATTCCCGTGGGACTTCATTGGGCCCGTAGGATCGCTGCAGGTTGGAAATAACCAGATATTAGCCCATCCAGAGTCGCTCTGGCTAATTTCAATGGCCCATGGGAAAAGGGACTGCCATGATGCAAACCCACGCGTCACAGGCCACCACAGGTTGAAGGGGGAGGCCTGTGCTATTCTGAATTGTCTCAGTCCGTAACTGACTTAACTCGCATCGCTGACTTCAGAACCCAGATCTGCAGGTACCTCTGGGGCAAGAGCTTTCACTCTCTAAAAGCCCAATCCCTCCCTTTATCGAAGGGAGCTTTAAAATCGGCTCAGCAAGAGAGGTGGCTGGAGCTGGGAAGCCTTTGCGCTCAGTGACGAGCAGCCCAGACGATTCATCACCCCAGGTGCCACGCCCATTATTACTGCCCACACGCCAAATAGGGCACAGCCCAAGGTTCTGTATCTTTCCCTCACAGCTTTAAAGTAGATTGAAAGACGCGCAAAAATGCCATCGGCTCGATTCATGTGCTGTCTTCACACAAATCTCAGCGATTCATTCTTGTAAACACTCTGTGTATCTATCTATCTTTTCGGTGTTGGTAAGTACATTTTTCAGCTCTGTGACCGTGATGGGTAGGCAGTCTTTATCCTGGTGGGGGTGTGGCCTCCCTGAATAGCCATCAGAATCCCTTAGAGTGAAAGTCCTTGTTATTTGTCTTCGGCAAATCAAACAAACAACAACTCTTTTATCTTGAGGAAGCTCTTTCTTGTTAGGTAACATTCTGTCTGACTTTTATGTTTCAGCGTTCATTGTATATTTAATTATTTTTGAAAGTTTTGTTTCAGCCGATTGCACTTTTTCAAACCTTAAGATAAACACGGGCCTGCTTTGTTAAAGATTAAAAATAAATTTCACAGAAAACTGCAAAATGGGACAAAGATAATACCACATGGGGTCGGTATGTTCCCAAACACAATTCTCAGGGGGCCTCCACTTGAACACACAGTTTCATCAGAATTCTTGTTCTGGAAGTTGCAGGAAGCCCCTGACTCTAACCCACCCTTTCCTGAAACTGGGGAAAGTATGAAAAACAAAAAAAAAAACAAAAAAACAAAAAAAAAACCTCACCGCTGAAGTAAAAAAGAAGAATCTCAACACATCAGGGAGGCGTGCTCTGTCTTTTTTTTTTATATGTCTTTTTTTTTGTGGCCGTTTTAGAAAACATCAACGCTAACCTCACAGCCCTTTTCAAATGGGCAATTACAAAAACAAATACATTCACATCTCCCAACAGGTGTGTCACCGAGTGGCTGTGGAGGATGATCAGGAGATCTTAGTCCATTGGAAAACATCATCTCGCTGGAACCGATCCGAATTTGGCTTGCGATCTTTTCATAAACAAGAGCCCCCTTCAGGAAACGGCGAAATAAGAGAGAGAAACAGGTGTCCGGCGGTGACTCATTTTTTTCAGGCTTATTCCCCAGAATCTTTGAATGCTCACTTGCCCTTCCATTTTATTCTTTCTCCCTTTTCCAGTGGATTTCCCCTTGGAAAGAGGCCTCCATTTGGGACAAGAATGTCTGGAATATGGATGCAGTTCCCGAGGCAGACAGTAGGGGGAGTCGAAACCCCACGCCTCCCGGCCAGCTCTCATCTCTGGAAGTCCCAAGCCACACAGTGTGAGAAGTCTCATGCACTGGGACAGGAGAAAGCAAGCTGCCTGAGAAAGAGAGACTGGAACCGGGACCTGCGGGTGTCCGCCCCTCCCTAGACACCCACGGCGATGACTTAGGACCCGGCTTTCTTGCTTTCCAATGGAAAAATTATTCCTCCCCGGTTCGAAAATTCCACATCCCAATGGAAGCAATTAAAGATTTTTAGACCCAGATGACACTCTGCAGAAGGATTTTACACACTCGATGCCCATGATGTTACAGCCTCCAATTTGCCGGGGTCGTTTGCTAAAAACTAAGCCACAGTGGCCACGTGTGAATCCGATAAAGCGTAAAAAGTGGTTTGTACAAAGTTTAGAATGACCAAAGCCCTTTTACGGATCTATCCCAGCCCCAGATTCCTGGAAGGAAGTATTTTCCGTAGGGAATCATGAAAGAGAAAGGTTTTCTAGGGTTTCTCTAAGAGAACAGTTAGCAAACGGATTACACAAAGACGTAAAACGGAGCCGTAACCGTGGCACTTAGCTTGCAGCGGAATGTGACGGGCCAACACA